TTTACGATTCAATTTCATATTATTGAATTTATTTTAGTCAAGCCAAGATCTCGTGCATTCTGGCAATGCTGGAAAAGCTTCGCTTTATCAAATGCCTTCACAAGGAAGTATGGAGGACCTTCTCTTTGATGCAATGGAGGAGTTAGACCTCGTAAGATCATTCATTTTCTTACATTTTAGGACTAATTGCCATCTTAATGAGAATAGCCCTTATAACTAAATTTACTAGCTGGCTTAAATAAAAAGGATATCCACTGTTTCTAGTTATTCACTCATCTGAGTCTCAAAACAGAATAATACCATTCAAGCACCATTCAGGTGGCACTGATATGCAAAGCAATGTGACGATTGTTTTGCTTTAAAGATCCTTGCAAGACTGAGTCTTATTGACTCTTGAACCCGCGAACCCTAATAAAAACATATTAGAGTTGGATCGTTTATTTCTTTGAGTGTCACTACTTCATTCCTGTAGCATTACTTCATAACTGTAATAAAATTCACATTTTCTGGCTGGTTTGGATTCACTATATCGATTATTTTGAAGAAAATGCGGATTTCGAATAGTCTCTTGAGATAATATTTGGATATGAATACTTTCATTTCGTATGTAAGTACATGATGAATAGATTCGTAGGTTAACCTCACCACAAGTCTTCGGCCTTTTCGCGCTGCACTGCAGCCGTTTGGCATTAATATGACGTTTAGGTTGATGCAGTCCACGAGACATCCTCCAATGTTTCGAGCGAAGACGAGCTGAGCTTTCGTTCGTCATGCTACATGACGAACATCGTCAGAGCTGGTACTAATTCTTGTAAAAGCCTCTAATCAACAATAAGTCAATTTGACTAACCCTATCTCTCAATCTTTCAATCAAGCATAAGTAATTCTTACTTAACTTTCTACCATAAATTCCTCACATTCAGCGTACTCACTACTGTATTAATTTCAATAGTCTCTCTTAACTTGCACTTATTAACAGGCATATTGTAATTAGCAAACGTTTGCGTCCGAGACCATTCTATCTTATGTCGAGTTTCCCTCGTGTTCAGTGATTTTTCAATTATTTGTGACTAGAAAATGTTAAATAAAGTAGGTTATAAGGTTAATTTTTTTGCAGTATTTTTTTCCGCCTTGTGAAGATATTAAGGCTTAAAATCGGCTTTAGCATAAGGAATGAAACAAATACTCTCAAAAATCACATTAAGATCTTATTTTTACCCCTCTTTTCGTACACAAATTTGGGTAAGTTTTTATTTATATCGTTTTGAGAGGAATATCCAGGACGATTTCTTGAGGACTTGTGGCATTTAGCTATTTACTTATTATTATTCTTTTTGCATAGCATTGTCATTTTTCTCCACTTTTCCTAATCTGTTGTAAGGGTAATTACGAATGATCCACGTTCATTGAAACTTACTACAACCGTCGAGAAAATTAGTTTACTAACTAGTGACATCGTTATGCTCCCTTAATCGCCTTGGATTGATTCATAAGATATGAAGGAGAGTGAGATCATAATACTTGAAATCATTAAGCACTGATTTATTGAATAATACCTTAACTTTTGCTTAATGGAAGGTTTAACTATTTAACATAAGTCGACCTATTTATTCATAATCATAAAGACCTAGATGATGTGACCTCTATTCTGGTCGCAGTCTCGTTCCGATGTATATAAGCGGTTTGAATTCGTTTTCACAATTTTTCCGTATTATCGAGGAGACTTCTAGAAACGAATCATGTTCGCACTTTTCTGTCATAGTAGGTATTATAATTTACAGTGTCGGACCTTAGACTTAGCGTTCCCGGACACTTCGCTAACTACGATGCTGCCGAAACTGATAATTTACTGGCCTACTCTGACGCTATTAATTATCATGGCCTCTAGGAAAGAAGCGAGTTCATCAATATCTCTGGCAAGACGACCCATCTGCAAAAATAAGGCCATCGGTTTCTACACCTATTTTAGTTTTGCTATGGTGATGGAATAATAATATTCACCACTCTTACTAATTATTTTATCCCTTATAATGAATTTTATTTACTTTCCTTCAAATAGACTTCGTCATCTGCCAAATCGCTTCCCCATGATGATTACGAAAATTCTTCCATCAATGAAAAGCAGAAACTTCTTTTCTCCAGCCCTGATTTGCCATCAGCTGATCCTGATCATCCGCCGATACCAGCCGAGTCCTCAATTCGTTCCAAGGCTAACTTCGACGATTTTGTGATAGTTGACCCTACAACATTGACTCCACCGGCAGATTCTATCCGAATCCTCGTACCTATTCTTCACCAGATACCCTCTTGCCCTCCTCTCCCGACTGGCCGCTGGCATCGTGGTGACGTACATCATCAACATCTCTGCGACCTAATAGAGAACTATTATTCGCCTAGCAACTTTGAAGGCGGTGACTTCGCGCATTCCGACTGCCGATTAAGTAATAACACTCACGCCAATAATGACATCTGGCAGCAACGTGCTTCTAACCTCTTTCTCGATCCACCCGCTGTATACCCACGAGCAATCTTCTCCTTTACCATCTACGACGCTTCCCTGGAATGGAGTATATATGGAGGGCGAGATTTTTCACCCATTCGTGAGTGCTTGTCCCCAACCATGAATTTATTTATTTATTGTCCAATAGGGCTCTGATCACTGCTTTTCACGATAGTCACTGAAGTAACCTCAAAATATTTACCAAATTTACTGACAGAGGAAATAAGTTTTGGTATTCGTCTCATACGCACAAACCTTTGTTATTTTATTGAATAAACTCTTGTCCTTAAGCTTGTGAAAAACTTCTACGGGTGTGTGCTATACTAGTTGCCTCTCTTCATTATACTTCATCCAAATTTGTATATACGTTGGCAGCGTTTTATTCTATTCCTTTTTTTTATTTTTCTCTTCTTAACTTTTCAGCTTACTCATCGGAACGGACTTGCCTGATTGACAACACTCCTGCCCAAACAAGCCAGCATGCTGGTGCCTCCAGCTCATCTTCCGTCTTGC